GGGGGGGGGGGGTGTTCTACCCCAGGAGAGCCCCTCCCCAAACCTAGCTAGTGGGGTCCTCACTTGGCTCCTGAGCTGAGCTGTCTAGCCCGCCAGCCAGTGGGCACCGTGGGCTGGAGCTTTGCTCAGCTGGGGCAGCCAGGTGTGGGCAATCCTGCCACTCTTCCAGGGAGAGAAACTCTGCATCACAGGAAGGGCCCTGGCCCTTGTCAAGGTCCACCTCCTACTCAGACTCAAAGGATGGAGCTGTTGTTAATATTTGTTTTCGGCTGCCTTCCTCGCCATCTCTTTCTCTCTCACTCTTTCTCTTTCTCTGTGCTTTGTCCCTGCCAGGTTTGGGAACCAACAGTGAACAATGGGACTTGAAGTCTCAAGAATTAGCAGCATAGAATCATACGGTGATGGAATGTTAAAAACATGGAATCCTTCCATTGGACCCTTAGAATTATGGGCTTTTGCAATCTTAGAATCTGGGACTCTTTTACCCATGGAATGTTAGAATTCTGGACTCTTTCAGTCTCAGCAGGGTCCCTAGAGTGTATGTGGTCCTGGCTCGGACCTCGTCCCTCCCGCTCTCCCATTCCCCTCCTCCAACAGGGTCTCTGAGACCTGAGTAGAGCCAAGGACCTTCCCTCCCTCCCCCTCCTCCAGGGACAGCCCTGCGTCTTAGTCTGAGTAGCAGGGGGTTGTTGGTGGTGGTTGGGGGCATATGAAGCTCCAGGTCCAGCCCGAAGCCCCGCCTGGCCAGGTGTTGAATGAACAGGCCTGGATTGTAGCCTTGGGGCTTGTGGGGTCTCCATAGGGTGGCCCTGGGTGGGCTGCGGGGCCCCTCTGAAGTACTACGTTTTTGCTATATCAGCTTTCCTGAGGCAGCCTTCATGCTGGGAAGCTAACCTCAGACAGACTCAGGGTCTGGGGGTCTTTCTAATATTCCTGAAGGCTTAGCTGTCTAAACACATTCCTGAGGGTCAGCCCTACCCCCATTTCATGGGTCCTAATCCATGTCTGAGTTTGGGCATCTTATCTGACGATGTCCTGCTGTGTCCTAATCCCTGTCTACAGCAGCCACTTTCTCTGCAGACATCAGGGACAGGGTGTCGTGGGAAAAGTGGAGAGGATTTCAGTTTGGAGGAATCTCCCAGAAGAGCTTGTTAAAAACAGAGGCTCCTGGGCCTGACCTTGGGGATTCTGATTTAGGGGGCTGGGGAGGAGCCTGTGAGTCTGCAAGTTGAACAAGAGCCCTGGAGAATCTGATACAGGTGGGCAATGGCACAAATATTGAGACATCCTGGGAGGTGGGAAAGAGGGAGCACTGAAGGGAGAAGGCCTGGTTGGGATCCTCTGGCAGCACCACTGGAAATCTGTTTCCTCACCTCTAGAGTGGGGATGGTAACACCCATAAGGTCCCTTCCTACACGAGGCCCGACGTATGGTAACTGTTCAGGGATTAGTGCATCCATGTGGCCTCAAACTCCTTCAACCCAAATCCAGTGGGGTGTCCCTGAGTTTCCTGCGTCACGCAACAAAGGCCAAGTCACTTTCTGGGACCAACACTCTGGCCTTGGTTTCCCTGAAGGGAAACTGGTCAGCTCCAAGGACGTTCTCCGCGCTGTTTTACAGCAGGACCCACTTCCTGGGAGGCTGGGTCAAGGCTGCCAGATGGTGTGTGCATGTGCCCAGTGGCTCCCTAAGTCCCTCTGGGTTTCCCCAGCCCCTTCCAACATGGCTGGGTGATCCCACCAGGACCAGGGCGCCCAGGGCAGAGATGGGCCTCCTAAGCAGTTTGTATGCCACTGTCCAGCCTCAGCTCCTGCTTGCACCAGCGCTCTGCTCTGTCCCCTCAGGGCCCTGCCATGCCCACCTGCCTGTCTGTCCAGGCCGTCACGGCCACCCACATCTACTCAGCTCCGGCTAGTGCCCGGCAGCTCTCAGAGAGGCCTGGGGGAAATGGGGTGGGTATCAGTTGAACGCAGCCAAATTAAGAATCAGGTAGCATGAAATCCAACTCTGCTGTTCCAAGCAGCTGAGGTGACTCTTTGGATTATCTGCGTCAGTGAGTGAGGATGGATAAGAAAACAGCAGGGCCCGGATTGTCCTGGAACAAACGAGGGCTTCTCCAGGGGGCTCTTCTTCCTGGGGGAGGGGAAGCTGTGAGGCATCCTCTTCCCATCTGATGGCTGAACTGACTCCTGTTAGAACCCCACGCTCGCTCTGCTGCTCTTCTGCTCAAGAACTGGATGTGGCTGGACCGTGGATCATGTGCCAACTGCCTCATCTTCCCAGTACGTCGAGCCCACTTCCCACCGCTCCCTCTGGCCCACGCAGCCACAGCTCCTCACTGTTGGAGCGTTCAGCCTCTGCATCTTTGGCTACACTCTACCTCTCGCCTGGAATGACCTTTCTCTCAATCTCTGTCATTTGCAAGACAGCCTCCTCCATGAAGCCCTCCCTGACAACCACAGCCCATTTGAGCTTTCCCTTCTCTTACCAACCAGCGTTAACACCAAGGGCTTCATGTCCTCTGATTGAGTGTGTGGAGTGGGCACTGGAAACAGATAAATGTGGCCTCGCTCTGCCCCTTCCTGGCTGAATAATCCTGAGCAAGCCACTTCCTCTCTCTGAACTTGTTTCCCCCCATCTATGCAGGGAAATAGTGACTCCTCCAAGGACTGCCGTGTATAAAGTATTTTGCATGCCCAGCTCACCCAGTCTAATCTTCTCATTTTATAGATGGGAGACGGAGGCTCCGTGAGGGGACGTGGCTTGCCTAGATCCATGTCTTAAGTTAGTGACAAGAGCAAGGCTGCCACTCTGTTGGCAGGATGCATTTTCCCTAGCAACCTGTGGCATCCTGTCCTTTGAATGCACTTACAGCCTTCCCTAGCAAGAGTCTTCCATCCTTTGGTACCGTCTTGGAACTACAGAGGCCCAGGAGGGAGCCAGGAGTGGCCAAGGGCTCAGCACTGTGGGGTGACGGGGAGGGGCCGGGGGGAGGCCTGGGTCCTGGGTCTTTCCCGTGCTTCAGCCAGGAGTAAGGAAGAACTGGGCAGGGGGGGAGCTCCCAGTTTTGTGAAGATGAACCCCTGATTCCAGAGGGGTGCAAGGCTAGTGGCAGAGAGCTCCCTGAGCAGTGGCAGCATGAGGACCAACTAGAAAAGATGGGGAGAGCCCAGCTGATGCCATCCGAGCAGGAGGCACCACTCACTGCTTAGTAAACAGCCACTGCCCCAAGTCCCTTAAGCATCCTCTGCATTGCCATCATCTATTCTGATGGGTCTGCCCACGTCTTACCGGTTGATAGATATCACCCTCCGAGAAGCAGCCTGCTGATTATCAGTAATAACTCATTTGGGGGGCTTCTGGAGCAGCAGGAGTAGAGGTGATGGCACGACTCACTATTACCCACCCTGGCCCTGTGAAGATCTGCTTGTCACACCCTCTCAGAGCATCTGGTCCCATTTCCACGGTGCCCTGGCCATGTTTACAAGGCAGCTTTCTTTCCTCAAGCACCAACTGTGTGCAGAGCAGCTGGAAACTCCTCTCACACTGCTGGGCAGGTGGGGCTGGCACTTGGGGCAATGGAGCCAGGAAAGGATTAGTAACCAGGCAGCGGGCGGGCAGCTCAGAGCTGAGTGCCCGGGTGAGCAGCTCGGCCAGCCACTCCCTGCTGAGAAGCAAGCACGAGGTGGTGGGGGAGCTGCTCCAGCAGCAAGAGAGGCAAGCACCCTGGATGGTCACAGTGACGTCTGTCTGTCACCCTGAAGTGGAGACACAGAGGGTCAGGGTAGCACCCCTACTCTTGAGAAGCAGGCACATGGGGGCCCAGGACCACTGAGGACTCAGGGCCCTGGAGGGTGGAGGGGCAGATGTGCTGGCCAGCAGACACCAGCCTAGCGGCTTAACACAGGAAGCCATCTGACAGGAAGCACTGAGTGCCAGCCCCCTATGGGGCTTCAGAGCAGTGTGTGTGCATGGGGGCAGGCTGGGGAGACAGAGTTAATCTGAAGAGCATCGGGGCAGCTCCCTCCAGAAGGTGACCTTGTGTGCTGGGACAGCTGCCACCCGCGCTGGGCATCTTTGGGGCACAAAGGGCGGCTGGCTGGGCCAAGGCTGGCCAGTTCTGGGGAAACCAGCCAAGGCCTTCCCTGTGGCTTGCTCTGCTGTCCCTACTGGGGGGCCCTTGCTCCTCTCTAATCCCTTCCTTCCCTTTGCATCTCAGACTCTGGAGGACAGGTGAGTGACAGACGACAGGCTGGTCCATGCTGAATGCTCTCTTGGACTACCGAGAGGCCTTTAGCTGGCCACCTGTGACCTGAATCTTTCCCACTGGTCATTTCCCATGGACAAAGGGAAAGGTCCTGAGATGAGGCATCCCTACCCCCTATTTATATTTCCTGCCTCCTCCTACACAAGGAATTCTGTTTGTATTTGAGTAGGAGCCCATTTGCACAGAGATTAGTTGACTAGGACAAGGTGATCATTCCTGTGGCTTTGACTGGGGGTACATGAGTACTCTGGGACCCTCTCACTCCCACTGTAACAGCTCACCTAATACCTGGACCTCCTTCCCCTGGCCCAGGCGAGGTGAGTGCACCTGTCAACCTCCTGCTCCTGATGCATCCTGCAGAGGCATCAAGCGCCAAGTTCTGAGCCATTTCCAAGTCACTTCTTTCATTGCCTGTGCTTTTGAGGAGCCAGAGCCAGAGAAGCCACATGGACTTTGGCGTCCTCCATGTGTTTCTCAGCCCTGGGCCTTCTATAACCCTGAGGGAGGAAGAGCACCATGGGTCACTTGACAAGTTCCAAGGGTACCAGGGTCTCTCTCTTGGAACTCACAGAGGACAGGGGTCATTTTATAACTAAAGTGTTTATTTCCATTCAATTCACTAACCGATTGGTCCGCTCAGGTGCCTGCATTTGCTCACAGGAGGGAGACTGTGGCCAGACCCCTTGGCTGATGGGTTTTCCCATGGCCAAGACCTTTCAGATCTGGGCAAAGGTCTGGAGGAGGGAAGGGGGTGGGAGAGAACCACACACTTTCTCCCAGGGAGGAAGGGAGCATGCCTGCACGTGTCTCCGAGGGGGATGCTCTGGAGGCTGAGATATCACAGTGAATGATCGGGGTCCTGGCCTCTGATGAAGCCTGGTTTAGGCTCTCAGAGGTGAAACTGGGTTCTGGCCATCTGAGGGCACGCAGGAACCTCAAAGGGGCCTATTTGCCTGGAAAGTACTGGATATATTGGGGCAGGAGAGTGGACAAGTGGGCAGAGAATGCTGGCTCTGCAGCCTCAGAGCCTACTTCCCGCTCAATCTGTTGCTTTCAGAAACAGTCCTCGGGGAGGGGATGCTCCTCCACCTTGGCCCCCCATCTCTGCCCAAATCCTACTCAGTCTATGAATGGCCCAGATGGCCCCGTGGCAGTTGGCTTTGGTGAGGCCTGGCAGCAGGTGGGAACTCTATTCAGGGGGAGGAGGGAAGGGTGTCAATGAAAACCATATAAAAATCCCGAAATGTGCATATAAAATCTCGCCCTTGGTGTATTGCCTAAGTCAGTAAGCAGAAAGCACCTTCTTCCTGGGGAAGGATCAAGTCCTCAAAAGGTAGGAAATGTCAAAGTGTCACTTCATTGTCATTAAAAAAAAAACCAACAAACAAACCCCCAATCCAAATTCACCCCTGACCAAAATACCCCCAGTCCACGAATCGCTGTAAACAAACCCAGACGCAGGATCAACCCTCCTCGGTGGCGTGGCAGTTGTAGCTGATGGTAGTCACTGCGGCATCAGTCCTCCAGGTGGGGGCTGTCGGGAGTGGGCGCCCGGGGGGCCGGGAGCTGCAGGCCTGGGGGGGCAGCCTCAGGAAGGCCGACCTTTCTGGCGTCCCTGTGTCCTCCCTGACCCAGGAAGACAAGAGTCCCTTTTCAGCCCCTTGAGCCAACAGGAGAAACAAGTCTTTTTCATTGGAGTTTCTAAAATAGCCTCCAGGACAGAAACATTCTTCTGTTTGCCCAGTGGCAGCGGGAATGGATGTTCCCAGAGTGGTTCCCAGGTGGCTGCCCGCCTGTCCGCCTGGCACGTGGCTGTTGAGCAAGGCCTGGAAGAGCAGCCTGGGGACAGGAGAGAAGGTGGGCCCTGGTCTCTCCCTTTCACATTTGTTTTCCTCAAAGTGTTTCTTGGCTCCAGCCAGGTTGCCTTCCCAGAGGGAGTTAGAGAGAAACTGCTTTTGGTCTCCGATTGGCCAAACCGCATGAATCTCCCAAGCCCTTTTTTTTCCCCCAAGAACAATGATCGCTTTCCTTATGAGAATCCTCTTTGAAAAATATTCCTTGTATTTCCCGCCCCCTCCCAGGATCTATTTTCTGTTGTCCCCATTCCCTTTTTTTCCATCATCTGAGTTGCACGTGTTCTTGGTGACGTCTCGTGGCGACATCCCATGGCTGGCGCGCCGCTTGGTTCTTCCTGTTGCCATGGCCTCCTGGCAGGTGGCTGGCCCTTCGGTAGAACCGGGAGGCCAGCGTGGGGGTGGAGGGCGGGGCCCGGCGGAAGAGGTGAGCCGAGGCAGGCGAACGTCAAACCTCCACAGACTGGATCTGGTTCATCTGTGCCCGCATCACCTGGATACTGTTCAGGATTTTTTTCTGGTGGCCAGCCAAGGTGACCCCGACCCGGAGAATGTCCCTTTGGGAGAGAAGCATGTGTGTTAGGGAAATGTGGGGGTGGGGGGACTTTGAGCCAGGTGGAGAGCTGCCTGGGCTTCTCCAAGGGTTTCCTGCTAAAGAGAGCAAGGGAAAGGGTGAGGGGCGTGGGGGAGCGGGTGGGCACCCGGAGCTGAATGAGTGACTACATGAGGTGGAAGGAGCGAGCACGTGGCTGGGAGTCAGGGCACCTAGGTGCACGGTCTCCTCTGCTTCGGGGAAGGGGAAAGGGAACCTGCCTTTATTAGGCATCCACTCTATACCTCCTTTGATCTTCCTACAAACCCCCAGTTTACAGAAGGAAAAACTGGGGCTGAGGGAGGGTCTGTGACTTGCCCAAGGTCACACAGCCAGGGGCTGGCAGGCAGACCTGGCTGTCGATCAGAATGTGACTCCTAAGTTGGCCATGTCATCCCTTGGTCCCCACATCTCAGCTGGAACACCGTCTGTTTTTCACTCTCCAGAGCCCCCGCCTGGGAGGCTGGGTGGAGGCAGAGGGCACTTACTCCATCATCATCTGTGACACGACATCGAACGAGGTGAAGCCGGCACTGGCGAAGCTCTCCTTGTACTGCCCCATCTTGATGGCCTCCAGCCACTCGTCCACTGTGTTAAAGCTGGTGTAGTCGGGGATCGTGCGGTCCAGCAGTGGCAGGTTGATTCTAGGGGTGGGGTGGGCAACAGAGACGGTCAGGCACGTGCTGGCATAGGGGTAAGGGTGAGGGTGGGCCGCAGGTGCACCTGCATGTGCGTATCTGTCGGTGTGAACACAGGTGAGTGTGTACATATGTGAACCTTTCTGTGTGGGTAGGCGTGAGTTTGAACCCGTGTAAATGTGCACACATATTTGTGTGCGTATCAGGGCGAGTGTGCCGGACTGACAGCTGAGGCTACCTGGAAAGTCTGGGGAAGCCTCTGCAGGGACTGCTGAAAGGCTGGACCACATGTGAGGCGGGACACGCTTCTTATTTCAGCAGGAGGGAGTTCGGCTGGACTGGTTCCTGAAGATCGCTGTCTCTTCCCCCCAATGCCATTCTCCATCCTTGCCCACCCGGGTTGTGCTGCAGAAGCTCATCTTGTGGACCGCATCTCCAAGTCCAGATAGAGCTCTGCACTAATGGGGGCCACTTCCTGGCTGGCTCGGAGCAAAACGACCCTCGTCAGGCTAAAAGCTCACAGTATTTGTATCCGAGAGTCAGGAGCTGCTGACTCAGAGTCAAGGTGAGAAGCGACAGCTAGCGGCAGACACGAAGATCTGTTGGCCACAAGAACTTGGCAGGTGACTCTCTGGATATAGCCAGTCCTGGACCCTGAGGACACCTGCCCTTCAGAATCCCTGTGTGATGAGGGTTCCGGAGAGTGCAGGGACCTGAGTGGGCCTGTGACAGTGCCCAAGCAAGCCAGTGGTGGCTGCAGATCTGATGGAGCCTGCTGTGGGGCACGTGTGTGTGTGGTGAGTATATACTGCTGAATGTGTGTGTATGTGTGCTTAGGTGCCTATGGATGTGTGAGACTGTGTGTGTGTGTGTGTGTGTGTGAGAGAGAGAGAGGGAGAGAGCATAAGCAAGAGCATTTGTGCCTGTGTTCATGCATGTGTAAGACTATGTTCGCGTGTGCATGCGTGTGCGTGTCTGTGTCAAGGAGTATGCAAACACAAGAGAGAGAGTACAGGTTTGAGTGAGGGTACTTAGGGAAGAAACTTAGGAAATCTATTCACCAGCCAGGATTCTGCTAGCTTTTCTTAAACGTTGTCCTATCTGACCATATAAACGTGCTCCCTCTACCACCCGGTGTGCAGTGTCCCGCGCTCCTCTGTACCCCAAGGCAGGGCAGATGCCCAACAAACTATCCTTCCCTGTCCCAATTCAGGCAGAGCATCTGCCTGAAGCAGGGGCAGCTGGGATGGGAGGGTATTTGGAGAGGTTAAGGGCTGGCTGGGGCTGATCCATACAGAGAGAGGGCGGGGTCAAGGCAGGGCGGGGCCATACCCGGAGGAGAGGGGCGCCATGGCTTTGAGGCTGTTGGGGTTGCGGATCATCTTGTCCAGCGTGTTGACGATCTGACCAAACTTGGGCCGGTGGTTGCGGTCCTTCTGCCAGCAGTCCAGCATGAGCTGGTGCAGGGCGCTTGGGCAGTCCATGGGCGGTGGCAGTCGATAGTCTTGCTCTATGGCATTGATTACCTGGGGACAACACGGGGGCTGAGTGGGGTTGGGTG